ATCTCAGACATATAACGATGATACAATTTTCCATCATTGTATTAAAAACACCAATCTAAATGCTCTATACTCTCAGAGGATTGATTTACTGTATTATTTTATGCAATAAGCAATGATAATAATACTTTAAGGCATATGATCATCAGATTATCTCAGACATATAACGATGATACAATTTTCCATCATTGTATTAAAAACACCAATCTAAATGCTCTATACTCTCAGAGGATTGATTTACTGTATTATTTTTGTAATAACTAAGTTACTAACACCGTAATTAATGACAAGTTCAAATACACCATCTTTTCATCAGATTATCGTAACAAAAGTCGTCGCAATACGTATAAAAATGATTAAATTAAACAAGTATTTGTAGTTATATTATTTCTTTTAAACTCATTATCATCAATAATCATAAGTTGAGATACTATACATTTTTTTTCCAAATTTTCTTAATGATACTTATTTTCAATAAACCTAGAAAAATCTATAGCAATAAAAAATATCCAGATTTTAGTTGGATCTGCATACGATGTTGATCTTTAATAAACCTGTGAAATAAATTACTCATAATATACTTAAGATACGAAACTTCCTTCAAATGTTTTTTTTTCCAACATAATAACTGTTTGGTGAGTTTCACGAACAGCTTCTGAAGACTAGAAGGAAGAGAGCTAGTTAACATCAACCACCTCAAATTCTTGGACTACTCCAATCATATAAATGGCCCGGCATGGCCAGGTGGTTAGGGTGCTCGACTCGCAATTTACGTGTCGCGGGTTTGAATCCCCGTCCCACCAAACATGCTCGCCTTTTCAGTCGTGGGGGCGTTATAATGTGACAGTCAATCCCACTATTCGTTGGTGTGTGGGTGGTGATGACTAGCTGCCTTTCACTGCTAAATTTGGGACGGCTAGCGCAGATAGCCCTAGTGTAGCTTTGCGTGAAATCCATAACAAACAAACAAACAAACCAATCACATAATGTGATTTTAACGTCACTCTTATAACACACTCACGGTTTAAAAGTGTGGAATACTTTTTTTTTTAAAGCAATGACGGGGTGAGAACCGTATAACCTCGGATATTCACTCCGGCATGCGATCGGTTTAATGACAGAAATAACCTGGCACATTGTCGTTTCATTTCATTACTTTAACTGATATCAAAATCTAAGTATGTAAATAGCATTCAGTAATACACTGACACCATTTGTCATCGGTTTATTCTAAAGACATTAATATTTAATGAATTTGTGATTACCGATAACAGTCAAACGTTTATATTCACAGTCCACTTCTCAACTTGTTTTAATAGTATTAAGCTCTTTAATAATAAACAAACTTTATATAAACTCATAAAAATTGAAAAACACTCTTAAAACAAGAATTAACGTACAATTTGTCTACTTCGATTAACATTTTTCTAAAAAAAAAATAAAGAGAAATTTTATTCACTCTGTTTATGTGCAATTGAAAATACGCTGATATGTAAATTAATAAATCATGGAAATCAAATCAAAAGCGCTATCACACACGTCAGCTAGAAAAAATAGTATACGAATATTTTAGGTAGCAACTCTGATGTATTTATGGATCATCGCAAATTGTAAGTAAATTTCTTTTCATTAAACTTTTCCAGATACAGATAAAATGGATTTGTTTGTTGTTAGGCTCAAACTACATAATGGGCTATCTGTGCTCTGCCCACTGCGAGTATCGAAACCCGAGTTTTAGCGTTTTAAGCTCTCATAGTTATCATTGAGCCACCGGGTGGCTTGCCATTACTTCTCTGTAATCTGTATTTTTGAAAACGTGATCGTGTCTGGCTTTTTTATTTCTATATGTTCACAAATTATAGTAGGTATTTAATATTTCTAATCTATATTGTAAATTTTGTCAGAAATTACTCAAAAAACATCATTGCCATTGCCTCTAAACCCAAATACATAAACTATCATTGTCACTGAATATAGCTAATTTTTGTTTTTTACAGATGATCGCCATTTAGCATCTACAATATATATCCTTAAAGTATGACATCGCAAAATGTTCTGGCTTTAATTTTGTGTTTGTCCCTTTTTTTTTATTACACAGTGGATTTAACACACAAAAAGAGTGGTAAAGGGGTTGAACGATCTGAATTAGAAAGGTTACGTTGAAAAAAAAAGGATAAACAATATCTTATTTCATTCAATTGAATCTCTTCCTGTGTTTAACATATAGGTCACACACACGGATGATTGTGATGGGTAAAGTGTTAAGCCGACTTTATATAGGTTAACGAACGCTATTGTACTCTCAT